CAACCAACCAACCAACCAACCAACCAACCAACCAACCAACCAACCAACCAACCAAAAAAACAATCAATCAATCAATCAATCAAACAAACAAACAATCAAACAAACAAACAAACAAACAAACAAACAACTTGAACCACAACCACAACCACGACGACAACAGCAAAAACAACAACAAAAACAACACCTGACACACCGCCCATGCCAATCTTCCAGCATCCCCATAAGAAATGCCATGATGCTACCTCTTCACTGTGAATTCGCTGGTGTTGATGAATCTTCATGACGGATCATGCTGGGAGGTTGCCCTATGACCGTCAGACCCAGTGGGGATCATCTTGCTGTGCATGATTCTTGATTCCCTTTCTCACTTGATCAAATATTGAAACAGTTTGAAACATAATCGCTCAATATCGCAGATCTTCCCCCCCATTCTCATTGGCATGCCTGGATCCTGGAGAAAGCCCATGTGTTGCAGCAAGGCTGCGCAAACTTTCTCCTGACGTCGCACACTTCGCGCGCATGCAGGAAGCACCTTCTGCCGAAGATGTTCGGCAGACTTCTGCCGTTAATCTCAACCTACTCCTGCCTGGAACTCCCTCTTGGACGAGCATGCTGCTAGACAAAGGCGTCTTGAGGGGTGACCTGAAGAGTAAGGGATTGCAGTCCTCCGCCAAATACATGAACAGTGTTTCAATGGACATGGGACATGTGGTCCCGGAAGATGGCTCGAATCCCCCACAGCCACAGCCCACGACCGCCGTGAGTGTGTGGTGAGTGTGAAAAGGGCGATAGACTGCGACACAGGTGCTTGTCTGATCACATGATTTCCAACATCTAAGAAACAAACGTGAAACACACACATACACACACGTTTGGTTGAACAAACATCCTTCACCCTGCCTGTGGGTGCTGCAAAAACACGAGCAACTACGGCTGTTTCCAACAACATACAAATGTGAGATTTCCGCACGTCCAAACACACGTCCGAAACCTTGAACCCGACTGCGTTTAGCAAAATCAGCTGGTTTCACGGCGGTCGGAGCCGGCATCTTGCACATGTTTTTGCGCGTGCATACTGAGCAACAGCAGCGAGTCGCTTCGTGGGTAGAGGCCGCACCACTGGGACCAAGACTCTACACCAAACACTCCATGGATCTCCATGGAATATATATGCATGACTATATGCATGATATGCTAATGATTATGCCTACTACATGGATCCCGTTTCCACCACCCCGGCCATGGAGGAATACGGTGTATATATATACTGTATATAGTACTGTATATATATATATATGCCAGTCCCACTGCTCTGGGAGTCTTCGTTTCGACCCCCAAGCTCTTCGGCTTCTCGCCTGACTGTTCGCCGAAGCCACGGCGATCCGCGCCTGGACGCCTCCCGATCGAGCCCAGTCGTCGACGGGCCGCCCGAAGTCGGCTTGATGTCTGAAGGAGTTCGTCGAAGTCGGAGTCTAGGAGCTCCTTCCATCCAAGCCATGGGATCTTTTTCTTTTTATAGCTGCTTGAATTTGAACATCACCTGCTGCTTGCATCTTTGGCCCCGAGAGGCTAAACTTAAAGCTGCCCCCACGTCGGTCCAAAAAGTCTGAGAATACTGTTCTTATGATTATGCTACCATTAGCAGTGAGTGCTTGAATTTGGACCCTGCACATTGGAAGACACCCGTCAAGTGACCGTCGTGCCTTTGAGGTGCTGCACCTTGGGACAGGGATGAAAAACACCTGGGATCCCTCGCTCTCCTGCACCGGTCGGTTCCCGAACAGGTCCACTTCCGGTTGATGGTTTCATAGCATGGACTCATGGACATGTGAAGAGGCGTTGAACTGGGTGACGTGCCCCAGTCACAGCACCCAAGAGGGGCCTGAACAAATGAACGAATGAAAGAACTGTCCTGACTACATGATAAAGAGTTTGTCGAGTTTGCACACTTCAGCTGTCCTTTAAAGCAATCTCTGGGGGTTGGGGGTCATGGAGGTGAGTGACAGACTCGTTTGGCGAGTGCTTGCGATCATGGTGTTTAGTCTTGATCCGGCCCCGAAGCAGACCGACAATGCTCCGTCATTCAGTGCTCCCCCTGATGGTGTCCCACAGCTCTCCGGTCTGCAACATCCTGCCGCACCTTAATTAGGGGTCTACTGCCTGCGCGACCTCTTCTAAACTCTGAACCCACTAAATGAGGTTTCTTCAAAGACTGCCCCGACACAAACGACCCACCAGATCTGCCAAAGCTCGATTTCTGCAGCTTCCTTGAAGGGTTTAGCCACCGCCGCCTGAGAGATGATCCCAAAACGCCTGGTTATATAGGTGATTGCCCCAGAACTGAACAACAACACTCTGCCAGGAGGGATGGAATCGCACTGAAACATTCAACCATTCTCATGACTCATGAATGCTTATATACCTTTTCAGGCAGCAATCTTGGACCATCCCGACAAAAATAATTCTCTATTATATATATATATATACACAATCAGCCAAAGGGGTCCTGTCTCCAACGAAGGATTTCTAAAGAAGAGCATGGCAGAGGGGAGATCATCAAATTTCACAGGATTCCGGTATAACACACACGTCTTCTCGGAAGACCAAGATCATATGTTTAGAAAGGACTCCTCTGGGGTATGAAGCGAATCCAACTTCTCCATCTGTCTATCATGGATTGCTGTCCAGTCCAGGAACCACCAGGAACCACCAGGAACAATTAAAACATCAACACATTCCCCAGAAGGGGATTTGCCCACAGGGAAGATCAACACAATCCCTTAACCAAAACCCTAGTGCAAAGTAGCTGCGGACCCGACCACCATGTGTCTTGCTTCCCGCTCCAAGTAATCGGTGCGCAAAAGAGCAAAACAGGATCGAACCATAAACATCCATAAACGCATATCTATGTCCAGTATCCACGCAAACACCGATGGTATCAAGGAGGAGTCACCTCGTGACCGGACCACCGAACCCTGGCGACCGGATGTCCGCCTGGCATTGCACTCCTTCCACCCCGTGTCGCGCGACGAGGTGGGGCCCCGCGTAGCGCGGCTGCGCTGCGTCGAAGGCCCACAGGGTCTGATCCTGAAGAGACCGGACTCCACGCACAGGAGTCCGATCTTCCCGAAAAAGGCACGGCCGGGAAACGGAGGTGGCCAGGGGTGCTCCTTTTTGCATCTCGAAGTGAGGAAGACCCAAGAGATCGGAATTCGGTGGTGAGTGAGTCAGCAAATCAGACTTCTTGGTGCAGTGCCCAAAACAGCTACAGGAACAACTTAGCATCCACTTCGCTAAACATCAGTTTTTGGTCAAACAAGTCCCTGATCAGTGGTTTAGATCTATGCAGCAACCAACAGCTTCGACGCTTGCGCAGAACCAAGACTCTTGTGGATGCGGGGATTCACACAGATTTGAGCCATTCGGCCATTTCTTTTTTGGTACCTCGAAATATTGACTTTGATCAAGACCGTTCTCAGGAATCCGAACAAAAAATACAACCATGACTTCAGCTTCCTGATTTACATTGGCTCTGATCAAGCTCTTCACCCCTATAGAACATTATAGAACGGGGCCAACAATGGTGTAAGGAAAGCAACAAAAAATGATGGATGCCACCGTGTCTCATTGAAGATGTGACTGGTTCATATGGCCCAACGGGGTTCGTCCACTGTTGGATGCACATGTCTAGTACGCTTCGTGCTGATCAAATGGCGCGACAGCCTCAGCCCTGGTATGTATGTAGACTCTCAACATGAAGAAGATGATGGCTAGGAGCAGGATCCCCAGCCATGAAGAGTTCTGACAGGGTGATTGCATTTTTTGTCAACCATATTTCATATGTCTCCTTACAAAAGAGATTGAGGTGTGCTGGTTGTCATGGGGGAGAAGAGCAACTAAGCTGTTTCCACTCTGGCCCTGCAAAGGTAAAGAGATCAAACAAGTAATTTGATTGGCAGGGTGTTTTGTTTGATGCTTGGATCCATCCTAGGCAAGGGATCCTTTATCTCCAGGGCGCCCCCGAAAAGATGCAATGGCCCGAAAGCACGGCTTGCGGGGGAACAGGACTTCTGCATCTTCCCTTGCTACCCACTCTTATCTTGTGGTCGACTTGCTCACAGCCATGCGCTCCAGGTCAAAGATGAAGAGCTTCGGCAGGCTTTCATCACTGCTATCCATCCTGAGATGGGCAGGGTCTCACGGGTTTTGGAATTCTTCCAAACGCTGTGAACCAGCACCTTCCTCACGGGCTCACCAATGGAAACCTCTACGCACTCCCCTACACTACTTACTTATGATCATGATACTTGGCAGGATCTCCGACACCCAGGTCCAGGAAGGTCCAGGTGTTGAATGTCACTCATGTGATGTGGATTTATTTGGGAAACCTACAGTAGTGAGTTTTCAAGAAAAAGTCACCAAACTTTGCTGACAGGTCTGGGCACGATTTTGTGAGAATTCCGCGCTCTCCCGCATGGTCGTAGTGTAGCTGGACTTCTGGAAGTCCTCCCACTGAGGGGATATAGGGGATCCACCCCAAAATCCCTGCCACCAAGAAATTTCTGCAGACTTTTGCGTGGCAGCTTGGGGGATTTGGCTGCTCAAAAGAGAAGGCCACCAACAATTGATTGTTGGTTTTTAGTTTCTAATGGTCAACTTTATTTTGTAAGGGAATTTTGATGTATTTTGGGCTCACTGTATACACTTGTCCATTGACCACAAGTACTCTGGCTACGGGTCTACCCAAAAGTGAATTCAGCTCCCTGTAGCCATTTCCTCAAATCATTTACTTGCTATTCATCAAGCTGCCAGAACCACACAACAGCCAGCACAGTTCGAAGCATGCAGCGTGAGTGTTGGCACCCCAGAAATTGAAGCTACAAAAGAACAAGCAATGCGTGAATAATGTCTTTTGATATCTCCAACACTTGCTTGTATCATCTTGTATCTTGAATATCTTGAATGCTGAACACTGAAGTCATAGAGTCATAAATTCATAAATGAGTCATAAAGCACCGTTGCTTCTCTCTCCACCAGGGACTGGGACTCCTTCCCCTAAGAAGGACTCACCGACTCGCCGACTGGGTCTGGGAATGTCTGGGACTGGGAACCCTGTAGTAGCTTCTTGCTACTACTAGTAATGCCCTTGTTTCTAGTAGCGATGCCCTAGCTACTAGTAGCGATGCACCTTGTTGGGAAAAAGAACGTTCCAACAAAGTCACCCAACCTCCAGATTTCCCATGGTCGGGAACGGTTTTCACTGGGCTAAATGGGGGGAATGCCATGTCAACTGGATATGCACTGAGTTCATGTCGTAGCCCAAGAATGGCCACTCCCGACGATGTTGGGCCAAGGCGGCCAAGGGTGTTTAGGTTTGGGTTAGCCAAGTGCCCCGATGTCCCATGCCAGTGTTTCTTGCCTCAAGCAGGACCAGCAAACAAACGTCTCTTGAAGGGTCTGCACCAACAGGTGTTTGCTTGAGACTCAACTTGAGACTGCATTTCACCGTGAAGAGTTCTAGCAAGGCCTGTGACAGGCGGCCAAACTAATTTAGATGAGCCGATCCCTTGCACTCACTTTTCTTGGTTCATACTTGGTCGAAACTCTCAGAGTATTTTTAGGGAGGTTTCACAACCCACCCAAATAAGGTTGCGATACCGATACCCATTTAACATATGTTGGGTGGATCCTACTGCAATTGTGACAGTGGCTGATGGTCTGCAGCACATCAACCGCTTCAGTAGCGATCATCTGCCCACTGTTACAGTTCTTGAGATACACCCCAAACATTTCCAAGGCTACTTCACCGGCCAAAGACGTCCCTATATAAATTCCGCCCGTTCAATCCATCCACCTCTGGTGCCACCAAATCAGGGACTGGCTCGCCGGTCTTGACCCCACACTTGGAGGACCGCATCGTTTCCACGGTAGGAGGTGCGGTGATCACACATGAGGCTTTTTTAATGCAATTATATAGATGTGGCTGAAGCCGCACAGAATGGTTCTAAGGCAACTTTCGAGAGACACCATGCAGCGACACAGTTGTTCGTTTTCCCTTTATCATCCTTTATCATTTATCATCATTTATCAATTTGCGGTATATAGCGGCAAATGACTAGTTCAGACTGGTCTACGGTGGCATGGTTGGTTTCAGCCTATTGATCGATTGAATCAACCAAGAAACCGTAAGCCAGCTCTTCCACAGTCTGAGAGATTTTGGTGCTTCCCAGGATACGATTCTCTCCGCGCATTTTTGAAACCAGTGTGACTAGAATCAGGGAACCATGAGAGTGCGGAGTCAGAAGTGACATGCAGTGACTCTACAGAGCAAATGAAAGTCGATCCAAAACAGCTCTGCATCGGGACCAATGAAAAACACAAGGAGTTCGTAGGTCCAACATGGTCCAACTCTATCATTTCGTATCATTTCTACTCATTTCCTGCTTCTTGCATTTGACTCGTAGGCATTCGTTGGCTTGATCCAAGAAGAATCAGTGGCTGAGAGCTATCAAAAGTCCCAGGTCCCGAACATGCGTCGTGCTGCTCTCTGTTTCATGTTGTTAATGGGGCTCACTCTGGCTCCAAAATGTTTTTGTCTCCGGTTCGGGGGCTCGACCCTCGACGTCGACCTGTGAAAACAAGTGAATAGAACAGAAATGAACAGAATATAGTTCGGAGACTTCCTGTCACTTGGCGAAAAGGAGGGGAGGTTCCAGCATTGAGTGGTCCAAAAGCAATGTGCAGCTTTGGACGACTGGAGTACTGCCCCAAGGAAAATAGGAGAATCACACGCTCGTAGAGAAAAGAGAGAAAAGTTGAGCTTGAGAGAAAAGTAGAGGTTGATAGAAAAGTCCTAGTTTCCAAAACAATCTCAAGACTTTCCTACTCTTCAGGGTCTTCACCACCTACGTACACCTTCTCAGAAGCGCATGAACGAGGCCCTGGAGTCAACACGTATAACCTCGCAGATACGCGGATGCCCACATCGCGCGGACTAGCAGCCACGAAGAACCAACCCGGAACTCACCTAAACGCCTCGACCTCTCAAAACCACCTCGCCTGCAACTGGCTCTGGTCCTGGACGTCACCCACTTTCTTTTTCAGCCTCGGACCAGCGAACCAAAACGTGGAATAGATGATTTCGTATTTCCAAGTGTCTCGGCTGGGCTTGTTGGCAGCTGGCAGTTGATGCGGAGATGCTTGGGAGGCATGATGAAACCGCACACTAAACCGTGACAGCAAATACTACACGCCAAGCGATCATTGACTCAAAACAGCACCGCTGCCAGGCTCTTGGGGAAACCAAACATGCGAAACATGTCGAGAACATGACGCCAATCAGGGATCCAAACTTGGAGCGAATCATCATCATGGTAGAGACGTTGTTCTTCTTCTGGTTCAACTCCGATCGCCTCAGCAAATCACTCGAAAACACGCGCCGGAGAAAGAATGAGGTCAGGAAAGAAACGGATATTGAACCATTTTGGAACCATTCATGAAACAAGTCGATCTTCCGTTGATCCCACCAGATGCTTAATTACAATGGCATGAGAGTTTCAGGTCCGCTTGGAGTGCACTTGTATCGCTTCAAGAGATTTCAGAGATCTACAGAAAAATCTAGAATTAAACCGACCTACTACATCACAATGGAGTTCAATGGTTTGAGATTTAATAAAACATCATCAAAGGCAGCATCTTCTTTGTGTCAGCTTAACAAGTTGGTTGCTTTTTTGCCGCGGCACGATGGCAATATTTGCCTCCACAAATTATATCAAATCTCTGTTTCACAAGAGAAAAATATCTCCCGCCCTTCGTACACTGGACCAAGAAAAACAACCACAAACATCTTCGAATATATATATATATATTAATAATATACACAATTGGGCAAACTTCGAGGGACAACAGTGTCTTTTCAATTCCTTTCATGCCAGTGGCAACTTCTCTGCAGCTTCTGCAGCACGTTTCATCTCTGCCTGCGCCTGTTGCACCTGGCGAGGCAGTGCGGAACGAACGGAACACAGACCTTTTTTGTTGGTTCCCGCACAAAAAATATCAACAACACCTGGGATTTTGCTTGAGTGGCTCTTACGCGTTGTTTTTCAGTGGTCATGCAACAAAATTCTGCCGCATGTTGGGTTTAATGGCTCCCATGTTGCCCTGTCTCAACCGGCAAATGGTTTTACATCTGCTTGTGGGGGTCTTGTGGGGGTTCATCTCCTTGTGGTTTTACAGCGCAGAAGACCACATACCCAAAGTGCCCCTTTTCAAAAGAGGTCTCGCAGGTTCATCGTAGCCCGGAACAACGTTTGCCGATCTAAGACATATATTTAAACAAATCGCAATTTTACACTGTTTGAACACCATTACCATGGGGTTCCTCCCTCGAAACTTCTCTGAGATTCATCTTGAAGACACGGTCCCTAAATTTCCTAAATGAGCTCAACCTCTGTGTTCAAACATTCTGGACGGCTTCCGGATTGATCTCCAAACCTGTTAACATACCAGAAATGCGTTTTGTCATCGACAAAAAGCCTATCCATTGGCATATCCCCAAAAAAGCTCCTGTTTTCCCCAAAACGGCGCCCCACCTCTTCGGACTGCTCAATGACGCCGTAGCTGGCGGAAACGGAGGACGCGGAGGACGCGGGCGTCCGGACGCCGTAAGCACGGTGGGTGTAGCGGATCAGTACTTCGGCTGTTTGCAAACAAAAGAAATTGGCCTGGGGTAGATCATCATATGTGCGTCTCTGTGTGTGTGACCTCTACCGTAGTTCAACCGAGCTTTGGTCACTAGATGAGCTCTGGGAGGAATCCAATGGATGGGACACTTCCCATCAAGCTCGTCGCTCATAAATTCATAAATCCATCTCAAACAATACTCCCGATACTTGCCACTCGTTTCTCGAATAGCTCGGTCTCGAAAGAACTAAGCTGTGTTTCGCCCCCCATGCACCGCCTAGTGTTGATGGAAGAAGCTCCGAACAATTCCTGGACGCCCCATCTGGAGGTGGTTTGCCGGGGTACACTCCGAACCTCTTCGGCAGCCACGGCCATGCTTTCCCCAACCCAAAACCCTCATGACTCTGGGACGGTGGACTCCATCTTCGCCAGCTTCTCCATCTTTTGCAGCGCTTGCTCCCGACGCCATTTGAGCTGAGAGAGTCGCCTCAAACGAGAGGCGCGTCGACGGCACGGAGAGGCCATGGGAGAGCTGGAGCACTGGGGCGGTGTTTGGACGAGAAGAAGTTTGGAGGAAGAATCCTGGAACATAGAGAAATAGATGGAACAAGAGAATGTCAAAGACTCACGTCACTTCCTGCCGGACGCACCCCGAACTAGGGGTTTGCCAATGGGACTATCCTACACCCCCAAACGTTTCAGCACAAAGTGGTCCGGAAAAAATCGGCGGACGATCTGCACGTCCTTCCCCACATGGGAACTCGGGCTCACCTCTCCAGGACTGAAAAACGTCTGAAAACAGCTTCGAATTGCCTGTCCCCATTTTCCCCCCGAAAACGGCCTTTTGCCCTCCTGGAACTTTTCCCAGTTCCGCTGGCGGATCGTAGAAGAAACATTGTGGGCTTCTGAGAGGGCGGTTGGATTCAATCACTAACTCCGCCGGAGAACCTGGGAATGAAACCTACGGAGCCATAAGTTGTTTCTCCCTGTGCCGCTGACTCCCTCAGCTTCCTTGGAAACTATCGCACCTTCGCACCTGTTTGTTTGAGTCGGAAACGATTCCTCTAAAAGATTGTTAAAGGTTATCCGCGGCCGTGGTAGGGTCATGATGCTAGAAGCTAACTTATCGCGGACGGCGGACGAATATGAAAACAAGCATGGAAGCTCTTGACAAATAGGGTCACCTAGCCATGCCGCATACGTCTTTAGCGCGGACCCATCGACGGTGTCGTGGTGATTGCCATTCGTCAACCTGTCGTTGCGAACGAGGATTCCCACGTCAACAGTGGAGGCTGTGAATCAACAGCAGTTCGCCAGGTGGGAAATTGAGCGAAACAATGAAAAACACTAAACACGTTCCCAACGGAGAGAGCCAAACTCAGAACTGGTCATCAGCCACGACCATCTGTCGTCTTCCCACATATCTTTGATGCTATAGTCGAAAACATCTTAGAAGCCCTGTCCGTTCCAACCTGTGATCCGTCAAGGAGACTACGAAACCACTAGGGCAACTGATATTGGTGATTTTGAGGCTCTGGCGAGGATTCCAACAACTCACACGGCTCCCACTGTGGCGCTTAATGCCTTTCTTTTCCCCCCGTCTGGTTTGACATCTCCTGTGGACTGAATGCATCAGTATCAGTTTTCTAGACATGCCCACCTCCAAGACACAAGTCAATGATATCACTTTAGCCCTCGGACCCACACCAAATTCCAAAGGCCACACTGGGCTTCGCGACTCCCGCTCTGTGCTGGTGCTCGCACGTGCCCTGGATGTCGCGTGATGCTGGACGGCTGGACCATACCATCCATACCCATGGGAAGCAGTCGCTCGCAGCTGCTGTGTCAAAGCATGTGGATGTTGGCGGATGGAAGGGTCTCTCTATTGTGGTTCCAAATCCTGTTAGTCGTCTTTAGTATTCTTTAGTCCTTTCAATGAGGATGTCCGTCTCAAAAGCAAGGGAACGCTGAAGTTTTTTGGGATCACGAAGCCCCAAACTCAAAGCCTGGCAAAGCTATAAAGGACGGTATGAGCTTCTTGATACTTGAGATCTCTTGATGGTGTTGTTAAGTCACGCATGTCCACGTACAGTCACCAAACCCCATCAAGACACCAGAATTGTGTTTTCTCAGTATATACTTGAGATGTTCCTCTGGTGTATTGCTGCATTGGGATTAACACTTCTTCCAGGAGCCGTAGAGCTCCTTTCTGTGACATTCCTTCGCTACGTGGTGCTATGACTCCAGGTTAGTAAAGTTGAAGAAAC